TGAGGAAACACAGCACTGACATCAGCTGGAAGAAGAGACCCACCTACCCCTGGGAGGCAGTGCTGCTAATACATGGGACACCCACGCACCATTACATACACTCATGCCTGGGCCACACAAAGGTCTCCCCAAGCTCTCCACGTTCAGCCAAGTAGCGGGAATGGACCAGCAGCGAGACGCCCCAGGTGCAGTCCCCATCCAGCCCCAAGCCACACCGCAGACTGCAGACTGAGGAGGAAAGGGTCCAGGTGAGCTCCATGGCAGAAGGAGGGAAGGAAGGGGAACGGGTGATGCTGAGTCACACAGCTTGCGGAGCTGACTGCTGCTGGCAGAAGGTAGCACTGTCTGAGTTGGACCTCAAACTGGTGAGCTTCCCAGTTCCTGAAAAGTGAGGATGGAATGCCACACCCTGGGCAGGCTCAGAGGTCCCCTGTCTAAAAATTGCAGAGAGGGTTGGTGGGAGATGTGCTTCCTCACTCCTCTGATTTCCATGCGAAGGGGAGATGGGTGAATTCCGACTGGCAAGTTGTCGACTGGGGTCTGAGACTATGTTGTCCAGGTCTTTTGGGAGAAGGCTGCCCACAGGGAACCATGTTCTGCTCTGCCCAGATCTTCCCAGGGAGGCCTGAACTTTTCCTGCCTTTCCTGTGCCTGCCTGGTTCTGTCTGCCAAATTCAGAGACTGACAATTAGGAAGCCCAGAAGTCTCATTTGTTCAGAGCACAGGCAGGAAAGAGAGTGCCATGTATTGGGCTCCCTCATATCAAAATATTGTGAGGCATCCCAGCTTAATATACTTTAGGGCCCCTAACTGTAGAAGAAATTTCACATTTTTAACACAGCTCTTAAAGCCCTTCACAATCCAGCTCCCACTTACTGACCTCTCCAGCTTGACGTAATCCCCAGCCAAAGCCAGGCTGTCTGCTCGCCCACCTCCGTGCTTTTGTGTCCTTCCCCGGGTTGTAGCCAGCCTCCAAGATGACCCCAGTGATCCCCACCTCCTGGCCCCTCCCCACACCCTTGTGAGATCCCTCCCTTCGAATGGAGGCTGGACTCACGAATAGAAGAAAGTAGAAATGACAGTGTGAGCCTTGGAGATGACTTCATAGAACGCCGACTCTCTTCACTCAGCTGGGAGAAGCCATGTCATGACCGGCGTTATGGACAGGTCCACGTGGGGAGGGCTAAAGTCTCCTGCCAACAGCCCTGTGAGTGAGCCTGGATCCTCCAGCTTCAGTCGTCTTGAGATCGCAGCCTTGACCAACAGCTTGACTGCAAGCTCGTCACAGATCCTGAGCCAGAACCCCACAGGTAGCTTCTCCTGGATTCCTGACCATCAGAAGCTGCAAGGTAATAAATTGCTGTTTGTTTTAAGTTTGGGGTAATCTGTTACACAGCAATAGATAACTAATGAACCCAACCTGCCTTTCTCCTTAAAGCCTGCTTGTTCTTCAAGGTCTCAACTCGGACTTTTCTTCCTCCTGGAAGCTTTTCCTGACTCCCTGTCGAAGATACCTGACGATTTAGCCTCCCAACATCCTCTCCATCTTTGGCAATACTGTCCTGACTTGTCTCCCTCTCTTCCTCCCTTCCTTCCTTCCTTTCTTGTGGCCGCGCCGCGTAGCTTGCAGGACCTCAGTTCCCCCACCAGGGATTGAACCCGTGCCCTCGGCAGTGAAAGTGCTGAGTCCTAACCACTGGACCAACAGGGCGTTCCCACCCCTGACTTTTCTTTAGGAAACCACCCTTCTCCCATCTGAATCTGTGTGTGTGTTGAATGAGGCTGATTCCACTCCAGACTCTAGGGGTTGGCGGTCAGCCTAGGCCTGGCCTATCCATTCTCCTGGAGCCCACTGTTTAGGGATGCAACCTAAGTCAGCCCCTGAGGGTCAGCCCAGGAGCCTTTGCTAGAGGTAGCAGGAAACAGGTCACCTTCATCTGCTGGAGTTGCCGGAGCAGGAAAAGCAGCCTACAGCTACAGGCAGAGCAGGAAAAACAGCCTGAAGCTACAGCTTCCTTCCTTCTTTTTCCTTTTGTTTCAGAAGCACAAAAGGACAGCCTCTCTAGAGATGAAGCCAGAAGAAAAAAGATGAGCCTAGGGATGGGGAGAGAGATTCCTGATGCAATTATCGAAGTGCCTGGATTCAACTGTGCCTGAAACTAAATCTACCTCTGGACTTTTCTTTCTTCCTTTCTTTCTTTTCCCTTCCCCTTCCCCTCCCTCCCTCCCTCCCTTCCTTCCTCCCTTCCTCCCTCCCTTCCTCTTTCTCTCTCTCTCTTTCTTTTTTTCTCTCTTTCCCTCTCTCTCTCTTTTTTTTGGCCTTAGGTAGTGTGTGTTGATTTGAGATGATCTCAGTCATCTTGAACTGAAAGGGTTCAGACCAGTTTCATCCCCATGGGTGGAATTAGGGACCCCCTCCTGGCCTCCCAGAACCTCTAGTGCCGCCACTACCACTGCACTTACCACAAAACTGCACCTGCACAAGGAACTGGTGCCCCTCACCCTGATTTTTCGTAATGGTGCCACACTTTTGCTTACACCACCACCACCCCCTGCTGCCCTGCCCCTTAAAAACAGGAATGTGTCATGTTCCTTTGTACATCCACAGGACCTGTCATAAAGAGGTGCCTAGTGAATAACTTATAATGAATGAATGGATGGATGAATGAGTGAGTGTCTTCTAGTTGGCCAGGAGACTTAGTGGAGCAAGAAAGGAGAGTCGTTTGTTCTGAGGCCCTGCTACGAGGCCCAAGTTACCCTCAAGACCTCTCTGAGGCAACAAAGGACTATTATTTCTTAATCTCTTCATCCAGACCACAGCTGAACCAGCCCCACCCCTGGAACACAAACCAGGCTCCTATTACAGAAAAACAAATCTGACCTGGCCAGTTTCCCTGCTTCAAACAACTTTCAGTGATGTGTTTGGCAGGAGGGGGTGGAGACCAGTGAGCATTTGGATCCAGGGCACATTCTACACTATATAGAACATTCATGTGTTTATCAATTGATTCATTCAGCAAGCATTTAATTAGCACCTGCTCTATGCCAGGCCCTGTACATGTTGCTTCATCTTTACAGCAAGCTTTTAGGGCCATGTATTTGTTATCTGTTGCTGCCTAACAAATCACCCCAAACTTAGTGGCTTAAAACAACAAACATTTGTCATCTTGCAGAATCCAGATGCAGCTCAGCTGGATGCCTCTGGGTCAAGGTCTCCCGGGAGGTTGCAGTCAAGTTGTTGGCCAGGGCTGCAGTCATCTCAAGGCTCAACTGAGGCTGAGGGATCCACTTCCAAGCTCATTCACGTGGCCGTTGTGAGGCCCCAAAAGATTCACTGTGAGCTCTCTCCCGTGGGCCTCTCCACATGGCAGCTGGCTTGCCCAGAGCGATTGATCTGAGAAACAGCAGGAGTGTCCGAGACAGAAGCTACTATCTTTCTATATCTTAGTCTTAGGTGCGACATGCCATCGCATCTGCCATATTCTGTTCATTAGAAGTGGGGAAGTTCAGCCTACACTCTAAGGAAGGAGATTACATGAGGGTTTGAATATGAGGAGGTGGATTAATTGGGATGACCATTTTAGAGGCTACCTGCCAAAGGTAAGGTATTATTATCCTTCATTTCATACTCAGACAGCCAGCTAGTTAAGCAATGTGTCCATGTCTCCCAGCTAGAGAGTCATCTGACTGCAGTGCTTTGGGATATGGGAGTGAGGTGGAGGAAGACAGGGAGAAGGCGCTGGTAGAACAGCAAATGGGGATGGAGTCTTTATTAACTATCTACACTGTGTAACTGAATACCCACAACTTAGTAGCATAAAATAAACATTTATTACCTCACATAGTTTCTAAGAGTCAGGAATTCAGGAGCAGCTTAATTGAGTGGTTCTGGATCAGGGTTTCTCGTGAGGCTGTAGTTAAGCTGTGGTCTGGAGCTGCAGCTTTGAAGACTTATCGGGGCTGAGGATCCATTTCCAGGATGGCTCACTCACATGGCTGTTGGCAGGAGGCCTCAGTTCTTTGCCACTTGGACCTCTCTCTAACCATGCTTGAGTATCTTTATGACACAGAAGCTGGTTTCCTCCAGAACAAGTGACTCAGGAGAGCCTAAGAAGAAGCCTCAATGCCCTTACTACCTAGCCTGAAGAGTCATAATGCTGTCATTTCTGCAGTGTCCTGTTTGTTACCCAGCCTGGCGCTTTGCAATGTGGGAGGTGATTATACAGGGCATGGGAATATCAGCCACTGGAGGCTGGAGGCTGGCTGCTATAGGGTCCTGGAAGATTAGTAATCCTAAAACTCAACTTTTAGTAAGTCACTCCCTTGGTCAAAGAGATCCAGAGCTTTCCCATTTACTGTAACACAACATCTGATTTCCTTAGTTCTATCTCACCACTGTCTTTTGGGCTGATGGGCCATCTGGGACTGGCAGCTTGGTCTGCTTACAGACCTCAAGTGTCCCCACAGAGATCCTTGTTGATGTGCCCCCTCCCCATCCTGTCTGTTCTGTGGGAACCTCTGGAAAACCTCCATTCAGCCTTTGATACATAGTTATTATCCCCCCCATGCCCCACGTGCAGGCTGTGGTTGGATGCTGGGATAAGATGGTGAGCAAACAGACATCCATCCTTCATGGAGAACTTCCAGTCAACATGGGGAGGTAGACACTAGCCAATTAATAATCTCTTCACAAACTGTGACAAATTCTCCCCCCAAAAAACCTATGGGTGGCATGTGAGAATATAATGGGGGACCTGGCCTACTCTGTACATGGTAGTTGAACCAAGCCAAGAAATTAACTAGGCTGGGCAGGTGTATTAGTATTAGGTTCAGGTGTAAGTGTCTGAAAATCCAAAATAACAGTAGCTTAAACAAGACATGTTTATTTCTCTCTTGCTTAGAAGTCTGGGGAAGTGTTTGAGAACAGGCACTGTGCCATACAGTGGCAGGGACCCAGGCTCCTTCTATCTTGTTGCTCTGCTCTGCATGGCCTTCAACACATGGGTCAGGATGGTGGCATCCACATCCTGGGCAGCCAGATGGACAAAGGGACACAGTGGGTAATATCCACCAATAATCCCTGAAGCAGCTGCAAGATGCTTCCCCTTACATCTCAATGGCCAGAACTTAGTCACATGGCCACACCTAGCTGCAAGAGAAGCTGGGAAATACAACTCTCATTCTGAACACACTCATATGCCCAGCCAAAAACTGGGAGCTCCAACATCATGCAAAAATGGCAACCATAGTCAACCCTCTCTTGCATTTACTCTGTGTCGGGCACTGTCCTAAGTCCTTGACACTCATCAACACACTTCATCCTCACAACAGATCTATGAGGATGGTACTATTATTGCCCCAATTTTACAGATGAGGAAACTGAGGTACAGAAGTAAAATAAGTTAGTAAGCGGACAGGCTAGAATGTGATCCCATGCAGTATGACTCCAGAGTATGGGCTCTGTTACCATAGTTAACAGTTATGAAGAAAGTGAGAATCTATTGGGAGACATGCACATTCTCTGTCCATATAGCAAGGTGCAAGGCAGAGATAGGAACATGCTCAAGGCAAAAGAAAGAGCAAATGCAAAAGCCCCCCCGCCCCCTGCGTCCCACCAAAGCAAGGTCCTTTATTGCAGCACCTCTCAAACTTAAATGTGCCGATGAATCACTTGGAGATCAGGCGAAACGCACACTTGGTTCAGTAGTTCTGGGCTGGGGCTGAGAATTTGCCCCATGGTGCCTAAGCAGTTGGTCTGTGGACCACCAGCAGACTGTGGACCACATTTTGAGAGGGAGGGCTCGTGGTCAAATGCCCACCACTCCATGACTCGCCTCCTGCACAGGCCTGGGCCAACAAACAGTCCTTTGGGCTCAGTGGCTACCCAAGGCCCCTTCAACCTTCTTGCTGCCCCCAGGTTTTGAGTGCTGGCTGAGATTTCCCTCTCTCTCCCAAGAGTGCCAGGCCCCTTGTTGAATGAATGAATGAAAAGGGAATGCTGGAGGGCAAAGGGAAGGAGAGCCAACTGGGTGTATGGTCCAGGGGAAGAGTTTGGTTCACTGCCCACACTCTACACCGGACCGGAACTGGCACCGTGCATTGTGAATTCTCCCAGAGGAATAGGTACCACCATTTCCCCCTATTTATAGATGAGGAAACTGCCTGCTGGCCCTGCTTTTTGAACACGAGCCCCCACCTTCCTCCCCTGGGGTTTTTCAAGCTCTTTGTTACCACAGCCTTGGAGGTGGGGCCAACCACAGAGGGAAAGTTCAGAATGAGTATCCTCTACCTGGTTGTAACACAACTACCAACTCCTCTAACCCAGCAATCCCGGAAGGAGATGCTGATTACCTGTGAATTTCGCAGAAGGAAACAGGCTCAGGAGAGGTCCCCGGTGGGCCAAGTCACAAGGCAGGTCTTAGTCTGCTGTCCTGAATAGACCGGGCTCGGAGCCGGCCCGGTGAATACCATCAGAATGAACCACAAATGGAAGATGCAAGCAGAGAGGTGGAGCTACCAGGCCAACCACAATAGCTTCAGGTGACGAGCCCTTACTAGGTGCCAGGCATCACACTAAGCAATCTCCCAACTTTCTCATTTGATCCCCAGGAAAAAGCTCCTCCAGTAAGTGTCATCATCCTCTTTGTGCAGCCGTGGAAAGGGGTGTGGGCTCAGAGAAGCCAAGCATCTTCCCCAGAGAGGCACAGTAGGGACGTGGTGGGTCCCCTTCACAAATCTAAGCCTGCCTGCTTTCCTCCTTTCTTTCAGAGTATCAGGCCCTTTACTCAGAGTTAGACGCTGTGTGTAGCCCACATCTGGACCATTCCATTTAATTTTCACAACCCAAGGAAACTGTTTTACAAACGCAAAACAACGGAGGAGGCTCGGAGAGGCAGAGGGATTTGCTCAAGGTCACACAGAGAGAAAGTGATGGAAAACACAGTGCGGGGGCTTGGAAAGAATGAACGCGGGAGTCTTTGGGTGCTCCCTTCCTCTCCAAGCCTCGACCCCCATCGCGCGCCCACCAAGGCCAGCCCGTCCCGCCTCCCAGCCCCCAGCCCCTTAGGCCCCCAGGCCCTCAGGCCCCCGGGCCCCTTTAACAGGGCGGCGGAAGGGGCGGCCGGGGGCGGCGGCGGCGCCCAATGGGCTGCGCGGAGCGTCACTTCCCGGCGGCCGGAGGCAGCGGCGAGTGTAGAGGGCTGGGGGCGGCCGGCGGGGGCGGGGCGGCCGGCGGAGGCGTTGGCAGCGGGCTGGGACCCACGCGGCGCCGCGGCCCACCTGGCCTGCAGGGCTCCCACCCCCGGCGGCAGCGGCGGCGGCGGCACGATGCCCTTTGACTTCAGGAGGTGAGTATGGCTACCCCGGCCACCGGGGAGCCCCCTCCGCGGGCGCGGAGGATGCTTGAGCACGCCGCGGACCCCTCCGGCCTGGAACGCAAAAGCGGCCCTTCGCCCTGTGCACGCCTCGGCAGGCCCTCGGGGACGCCGGGCTGGCCCCCTTTCCGCACACAAAGCCAGCTGGAGCCTCGGAGGGCCTCCTCGTGCAGCGGGAAGCGAGGCCACCCACCTCTCAGGCCGCTCCGCCCCTTCCCTCCGCGGAGCCCCCTCCCCAGGCTGCCCCGACACCTCGCAAACTCGCATCCTCTTCCCCCCATGCTGGGAAACAGGTTTCCTCCCTCCCCTAGATAGGACCAAACAAGCCATCCCCTTCGTCTTCTCTACAGAGCCTCTTTTCGTGAACCCCACCCCAGCTGACAGGTGCGTTCAGGGCACCTCGGATGAGCCCCCAGGGATCCGCAGGGGTGTGCAGACCCATCCCGCCAGACAGCCGCTGGAGGGTTTCAGGTTTCCATAGGCTCAGACTCTCCCTAACTGGGCCGAACCGGAGGCCTGTACCTCAGCCAGTCCTGGTCCTGTGCTCTGGGTATGGGGGCTCCATGGGGGAGGGGAGGAGGTAAGGGAGCTGTGGGCAGGACTTTGCAGAGAGCTTAGCCTGATCTGCCCTTGGCTTTCTACAGTCCCCACAATGGGCCCTTTGTGGGGTCCAGCCGCCTCATGGTCCACGTTGTGCTGGGCTGGGCCTTCTGGAAGCCTGCCTGACAAGGGGTCTACATCCAGACTTTCCCTTGAGGTATGGAGCCCCAGGGGATGCCCTGGCCTGAGGCAGCCACACTGTGGTGTATAGCCAGAAAAATAGCAGGGCTTTAGTGGGGAGGAGCTGGATCAGAATCCTGGCTCTGTCCCCTCCACTGAACAGCTTGGTATATTCTAGAAGTTAGGGGCAAAGGCTTTGGGTTCAGACCTCCCCTTAGCTGCACAGCTTGATGACTTGGGCAGGTGTCTGAGCCCTCTCAGTATCTCTGTGTCACCACCTGCAAATTGGGGCTAAAAATAAAGTCCCACCTGCGAGGGCTGAATGCATGAGAAGAGCTTAATTCAGAGCCTGGAGGGGTGCAGAGCTCAGAAGTGGGAGGTTAGTGGACAAGCAGCCTCTCCATGAGGCCACTTCCTCATCCACAAAATAGGGATTCCGGTCCCTGCCAGCTCCTTCCCTCCCTACAGGTGTGAATGAAGTCAGGGTAAAGCGACAGCCTTCCTGGGAAGAAAAGCCTGGCAGTGACCCCCCATGGCATGTGGGCATGTTGGAGTTTAAGCATGGAGAGAACATTGGCCTTGGAAATCTTGCACTGGCTGACGTGGTACTCAGCCTGCCCTGGGCACCATTGCCATCCCACAAACAGCCTGCCCCTTCCATGCAGCCCTGGGGCTGGCACCAGGGTCTCAGACAAATGCTTGCACACCCAGGGCATTTTCATACAAGGAAAGCCCCTGTGATGGAATTCAGGGGCAGTCCTCGTACCGACGGTTAACATTCAGGACATGAGAGAGCTGTAGCTGGCACATTGATTCCTGGTTCCATAAAGCCTCCCCTTACCCAAGCTGATAATTCATGCCCTCGCCCCGCATCCCTTTGTGATTCAGTAGGTTCCAGTGATTTTGACCTTATTGGGGAAGTCACTGCTTTCGGGCATAGAATTCATCTGCACCTAATCTCCCATTTTAGGAGGAGGAAGTTGAGGGCTGAGGGTCTTGTCCTGGACCTCATGGGACCTAGATTGAAGGGTGGGCCAGGGTCCCACGTCACGCACAGCTCCTGACCTGGTGCCCCTTGAGTTGGAGGTTTGGAGTGTCCAGGTACCATGGGGGCCCCAGCTTAATGAGGTGTTTTAATCAATTTCCTTGAAGGCTTGTGCCACCACAGAAGAGTGAGAATGGATTCAACACTTCCCATTTACACCTTGGAGGACGAGCCTAGTAACCTACACTTCTTAGGATGTGTTCGTTCCAGGTCTCAGGTTCTAAGGAAGGGTCCACTGTACACGCACTTTAGTGTTCATTGATCAAACGTTTACTGAGTGTCTGCTCCGTGCTCAGCCCTCCGCCACGTGCCCCACCACAGAGCTGGGTGACATGTGACTCGTTTGCTCAGGGCCAGGCAGTGGTGAGCTGGTGGAGCTGGGATTCGATCTGGGGACTGTTAGCTGCAAAGCCTTAGCTGTGGGAGAAAAGGGAGGTCTTGGCGGGTCCCACAGCCTTGTCAGATCTCTTAAAAACCATGGGGACATGGAGAGGGGAATGCTCTGGTTGAAGCCCCGCCTCCCAGTTCGAAGCCAGGGAGAAGACCAGGCTTCCTGATCGTTTTGCTCTCCTTAATACAGAGCACAATCAGGAAGGGGGAGAAAGGAACCTCTTGCTCTTTCTTACCAGAACTCCTTGTTTTCCTAGTGCCTGTGGGACCTCGTGCACCTTACCTCCTGTGTGCTTTCCTGTCTGTGAAATGGGGATGAGAACAGTACCCGTTGTCGAGAAGATTAACTGAGCCAGTGTGTGTAAAGCATTTAGATACAGAGTATGCACCCAATAAATATTGGCCACTCTTCATTATTTGTGTTATTTCATCGAAGCACCTATATTTCCTAACACTGTATAATTCACTTAATTATTTTATGCTTATTCTCTTTTTTCCTCCCATGAAAACATGAGCTGCCTAGGGCAAAGATCTTTATCTGTTTCCTTCACTGCTGTAACTCCAGGGCCTAGAATAGTGCCAGGGCCACACTCACGCCCAGGATATGTCTCTCAGAGTCTGTCAGGGAAGCCAAGGGCATGCTGTGATTTGATGTGCCAGTTCTTCCTTTACTGGGAACCTTTTCAGCTATGGGTGGTTAATTCTCCCCCTTCCTGCCTTGAATGTGCTCTTCTCTAAATTGTAGTTGGGGGTGGGGAATAGGCTGAGTACAGAGGGACCCGAGGCCTTCAAAGATGACTTGTGTTTGTTTTGCTCCTGGTGCATTGTTTCATTAATCGCTGACCTTTGCAGTGGTGGAACTGGCCTTGTGACCCAGTTCCGTGGGCGTTGGCCCTGCCCGGACCCAATTCCGGCTGGCAGGGGCCAGAACACCTGCTGTCTCTGGCTCAGGCTGCGGGGG